ACAATTGGAGTTGCGCGCTGTTACCCGTAAATGTAAATGATGCAGTAGCTGAATGATCAAGAACTGGCTGGCTTTATTTATCCGAATCTGTCTATCGTGACAGTATTTGTTACCCACGTGTGAGTCTTGTGTGATTTGTGGTGGTAATTGGCGTTGTTCCATGCTGCTATTTTCGAATAAACATGAAGTTGCAAACTCAAACATGCTAGCCCGCTGTTGGCCCCTGCCGGGCAGAAATTCGTGAGAATGAGCGAACCTTTTACCTTAGCGGCAGCACTCCAGGCAGGTGCAGAAGAGGGTCGTGCATGCAAGAAAACTTCTGGATAACTTGCACATACCGCGAAGGCGCCGCAAAACATCAACGTTCAGACACCAATGCCTCAACGTTACGAAATATATCGCAAGGCAACGGCCGGCACATTCCACCGGGGCGCGCAAGGGAGTGCTGATATCAACACAAGAGAAAAGAAGCACACTGCTCCTTAGCGTGTGTATCTTGTAATCGATATAGTAGTTTCAGCCGAGTGCGAGTTCTTTCTATTTCTTGTGCTAGCGAACTACCAATGCACCGATTGCCTCCAGCAGCTGTTGCTATTTTTTTTTACGTACAAGTAGTCCTCTGTGGCTCTCAAACTTAACCTTCTGACCACTTCCTGTGTCCGGCCCCCCATCGTATTTGCTTCTTTACGTAGTTTTTCAACAAAACCAAAAGAGCAAAATGTCCTCGGCTAGCACTTCCTCTTCCACTAAGAAGGACGAGGATTTTATCAAATCGACGAAAGAGCGCGCCGATCTCAACCAGTACTGGTTTTCCCGAAACACCATCGACGTCTTCGTCAAGATCATCTCCTGCCACGTGGAAAAGGTGGAGAAACCGAAAGTCGCGCTCGTCTCCTGCCCATCTTTGTATTTCTCCTTGGAAGTATGCAAGAAAAACTACGAGTGACCGTAGTACACGTACTAGTTGTAAACAATACATCACAAATCTTCTATTACAGTTGTGAGCGCAAAGTAAGGTTGATTAATTATGAGTGCCCGGGGATGAAGAAGTACTCGCGTTGTTTTCGCGGTTCTGACCCTATGCCGCTCCAGCGCCTGCGGAGGCTTGCTTTCCCAGCGATAATGGACAATGGCAATGTCGGTGCGGTTGTTTTAACATCACAAATCTTCATCGCAGCATTGATTACAAAACGAAATTTTGGAAACTTGGTGCGTGCGCCGGGTTGATTTGTAATATTCAGTCAGGTAGAAGGAAAACAATGTTGTCATCCTCATCCAGAGAAGATGCCTATTTGTATTTGTTTACGTGTACGAGCTCCATTGTTTTGCTGTGGATACGAACCAGAAGTGAGGAAAAGCTGCATCGTATCCACTGCAAATTTGTCTATCTGGATCTTGCGAGAAAAACGCACGCACTGTGCCTCGCAGATGATTGTTGCATGCCAGAGCGTTCTGTATCTGTTACACGGCTTTTGTAGTTGTAGAGCATGATGATATTTTTTTTTTCTAACTCACCGCTCCTGTTGTTCACTCAGCTGTCCTCCAAATATTTCGTTACAATCCAGACACAGACATTTTTGCAATGCATGCACTGTTTTGGACATCGACAAACAGTGGGAGGAGGATCCCGGGTAGGGGATATATTTATACGTAATTTTTTTTGTGATACTAACTAGGTTGCGTTCGCTTTGTGGAAAAAGATTTCTCATGCTCGAGGATAGGTAACTTACTAAGTTCGTAAGGTAAAGGCGACCACATTTACTTATTTACCTCCGTAACTACAGGTTTGTCTACTACGATTTCAACGACCGTATGCAGTGCAAAAGTATCAGGCCGCTTGTACAAGTATGAACCGCAATGGCATGTATTGTTTTTACATTTTTGATGAATAAAAACAAGGGTGAACATAAAGCCGCAAATCTGTACTGGTGATTATGAGCACCTCGGACACAATAAACGGGATGTGTCGACGTGCTCGTGGTCCTGCACTTCTACTGAGCAATCTTTATGGTAGAATGTGCGCGAAGATACTTTTGCACAGAATAAACCCGCCAGAGCAGCAACTCAGTGGCCACCAAGACTGCACGTTAGTCGTTATCGATCCGCCATACATCACGGAAGAGGTATGGCAGAAATACGCGGACTCCGGGCACTTTCTGTCCCGGAAAACCAAAGAGATAAGTTTAAACCAAAGTTCACCAGCAGACAAAGCTCCTCCTCGTCCGGAGGTCCAGTTTCTCTGCACTACCGTGTTTGAAAACCGGTTTTTTATGAAGAAATTTTTCGACGTGAATCCAACCATGTTCCTATCCTGAGTAAAAACGTCCCCACACCAGAGTTGTGATGCAGATTTGCAAAGACAGGAAGACTTGTAATGCGCATCCCCATGAAAGCCATTTCCAGTCGTGTTTTGGAATTTGTGATGCTGTGAACAGGATGAGCAGATGAATCTGTGATGCGGCTGCACTTGCTAACCTGCACTACACTGCAGAGTGCAACTTGTCAAGCGTGACT